TTAGGTCAGTGATGTAGTTCGGGGCAGTATGGTGGACAGCTTTGTACGTCAGTGTTAGGATTTTGAATTTGATCCGTTGCGCAATCGGAAGCCAGTGGAGGGATTGGCAGAGGGGGGTGGCGGAAACGGAGCGGTTGGAAAGGTGAATAAGTCTGGCTGCCGTATTCAGGATCGACTGAAGCGGGGATAGCCTGTGGCGAGGCAAGCCAGTGAGGAGGGAGTTGCAGTAATCGAGTCGTGATATGATGAGGGAGTGGATGGGCTGTTTAGTGGTTTCTGGGGTTAGGAACGTGTGGATTTTGGCGATGTTGCGGAGGTGGAGTCTGCATGAGTTTGTTAATGATTGGACTTGGGGCTGGAAGGATAGGTTGGAGTCCAGAGTGACACCAAGTACTCTGGCCTGCTGGGCGGGTCTGATAGTGGTATTGTTGGATGTGATGGAGAAGTCAATGGGGGGCGGTGTGCGGGCTGGGGGGAAGACTAGGAGCTTGGTTTTGGAGAGGTTCAGTTTAAGGAAGTGGAGCGACATCCAATCTGATATGTCGTACAGTAGGTACAGTAGGTCGTACAGTAGGATGAATTGCAAAATATGTTGTAGGCAGGCAGGTATACTTGTGTAAACACCAGTTGCACGTGGATGGGCGTCCTTTTCTGAACACACAAGTTTCATGTTTGGAAAAATACGTCCATATATGTACAACTGTAACGTACGATATTCATTCCTATGGGCAGAATTACACAGCAGCTGGTGCACCCAGGCTCTGTAAATAGAGGCCTATTTTATGCTGTATGCCTATACGCTTCCAAATACATCTGTGTACATGAACCCTTTAAACATGGTTTCATTAGGGGAAATCATATACTGTATACAATGTCCCATGTGTTTGATCCAAAAACATGATTCAAAATAACAACATAATAAAAAAATAAACACGGTACATCCATGTTTAGTGCTGTGTAAATTCTGCTGGGGTAACTTAAGGGGAAACGTGAATTATGGAACACTAGATAAAATCTTCTTATTGTTTTGTACAGATTGGAGAAAGGTTTACACCTCTGTAAAGCTATTTTTGGCTGTTTCTGTACCCTTGGAAAGAGTTTACCTTACTTACTGTTCTTGTGACATGGCAGGATGTGAGGGTATAGCTTCCCAAATGTGACAGCAATAAAACCAATAATATTCCAGCTATACTGTGTCCAAATCAAAATGAGGAGACTGCTATACTGTACTTTGCACTTACCATATAAATACTTAGCACACTTATACAATGATGACATTGTTGGCCACTTTATTAGGTGCACCCGTTCAATTGCTTGGTAACACAAATTACTAGTCAGCTAATCACATGGCAGCAACTCAATGCATTTAGGCATGTAGACGTGATGAAGACTTTCTGAAGTTCAAACCGAGCATCAGAATGGGGAAGAAAGGGGATTTAAGTGACTTGGAATATGGCATGGTTGTTGGTGCCAAACGGACTGGTCTGAGTATTTCAAAAAACTGCTGATCTACTGGGATGTTCACGCACAACCATCTCTAGGGTTTACAAAGAATTGTCCAAAAAAGAGAAAATATCCAATGAATGGCAGTTGTGTGGATGAAAATGCCTTAATGATGTCAGAGGTCAGAGGAGAATGGGCAGACTGGTTACTGTGACATTCAGATGGTAGGGTTGGAATTTGGTGTAAACAACATGAAAGCATAGATCCATCCTGCCTTGTATCAACGGTTCAGGCTGGTGGTGTAATGGTGTGGAGGATATTTTCTTGGCACTAGCCAAAAACCTAATAAAGTGACCGGCGAGTGTATGATGTATTAAAATATGTTAAAATAAACATTCGTACATTTCTAAAACCTGTCCCTAATCAGCTTAAATTCTACACAGATATTCTTAACCATGCCTGTATTTGAGCAATAAAAATAAACAATTTGGTAGGAAACTGTTTTTTTTTAATTTGTTCCCTTATCTTCCAGGGCACCTTGAGTTCTACAACACATACAGTATCTACAGTGGATATAAAAAGTGTACACAACACTGTTAAGATTTCAGGTTTCTGTGATGTAAAAAAAATGGGACAAAGATAAATAATTTCACAACATTTTCCACCTTTAATGTAACCTATAAACTGCACAATTCAGTTGAACAACTGAAATCTTTTAGGTGGAGGGAAGTAAAAATGAAAAACTAAAATAATATGGTTGTATAAGTGTACACACCCTTAAACTAATACTTTGTTGAAGCACCTTTTGGTTTTATTACAGCACTTAGTCTTTTTGGGTATGAGTCTATGACTTGGCAATATTTGCCCACTCTTCCTTGCAAAAACACTCCAAATCTGTCAGATTGCAAGGGAATCTCCTGTGCACAGCCCTCTTCAAATCACCCCACAGATTTTCCATCAGATTCAGGTCTGGGGTCTGGCTGGGCCATTCCAAAACTTTAATCTTCTTCTGGTGAAGCCATTCCTTTGTTGATTTGGATGTATGCGTTGGGTCGCTGTCATGCTGAAAGAGGAAGTTCATCTTCATGTTCAGCTTTCTAGCAGAAGCTGAAGGTTTTGTGCCCATATTGACTGTTTTTTGGAACTGTTCATAATTCCCTCTCCCTTGACTAAAGCCCCAGTGCCAGCTGAAGAAAAACAGCCCCAAACAATGATGCTGCCACCACCATGCTTCACTGTGGGTATGGTGTTCTTTTGGTGATGTGCAGTGTTGTTTTTGTGCCAAACATATCTTTTGGAATTATGGCCAAAAAGTTCAACCTTGGTTTCATCAGACCAGAACACATTTTCGCACATGCTTTTGGGAGACTTCAGATGTGTTTTTTGCAAAATTTAGCTGGGCTTGGATGTTTTTCTATGTAAGAAAAGGCTTCTGTCTTTCCTCTCTACCCCATAGCCCAGACATATGAAGAATATGGGAGGGTGTTGTCACATGTACAACATAGCCAGTACTTGCCACTTACTGCAGCTCCTTTAATGTTGCTGTAGGCCTCTTGGCAGCCTCCCAGACGAGTTCTCTTCTTGTCTTTTCATCAATTTAGGAGGGACGTCCAGTTCTTGGTAATGTCACTGTTGCGCCATATTTTCTCCACTTGAAGATGACTTTCTTCACTGTGTTCTATGGTATATCTAATGCCTTGGAAGTTCTTTTGTACCCTTCTCCTGACTAATACCTTTAAACAATGAGATCCCTCTGATGCTTTGGAAATTCTCTGCGGACCATGACTTTTGCTGTAGAATGCGACCATGAAAATATCAGGAAAGACCTACTAGAACAGCTGAACGTTTTATATCCACTGTATACTAGGTTTTCCTATTTACATCCAGTTATTTTGTTGTTGTTATTTTGTTGTTGTTTGCTTGGTAATGGATCTGAAAAATGTAAACTGCAAGCTCAGTTTATTTATTTATTTATTTTATTTTAGAACAAGAGAAAACAATTTGCATTAATGAAGACTGCAAGAGTTTAATATTTAGAGATAAACATGACACAGAAAGACAAAGGTAAAGCTATGCTCCAATATATGATACAGTGCAGCCGATGTAAAATTTGGCAGGATAGCTAGGGTCTGCCACACTTACTAGACCACAGTAGGCATGCGAAACTGTTTGCATATTTTTTGTTAATTTTGGAACTTTCTAATTAAACCTGCTGGAATACAGAACACCTCCCCCTTATGTGATAGAAATATGAAGAGGTGTTTGTATTCCAGCAGGAAGGACTAGCCAGAGCTGACAACACCGTATGGGATTTGGTGCAAGAAAGGCTGATTTACTAAAGGATTTTCTTTAAATATCTAATGATGTGAAAAATAAAACCCTTGTTAGGCTTGGCTCATATATATATATATATATATATATATATATATATATATATATATATATATGTGTGTGTGTATATATTTTGCGTTTGATGCTTTTTGCAGTTTGTTTTGCATTTTTTTACATGTGTTTTTGACATGTTTTTACCACATTTTGCATTTTGTTCAGCTCTTTTTTTTCTTAAAGTGGAATTTTTTTGTTGCTGGGCAGAAAAAAAAAACAAAAAAACGCAGCAAAAGCGCACTACCATTCAGCTTCTCTATTGAACTCTACTGTGGCAAAAACACTGCTTTTTGCTTTTAAAAAAGTCCTGACCCTTTAAAAAAAATGCAGCAGCTCTAAAGAGCATAAATGTGAGCATGTTCCATAGGAAACCATGTTAAATTGTCTGTAATGATTTTCTGCAAAAAGCACTAAAAACGCATTGGTGTGAACGGAGCCTTATTGTGTTAATTTTCTGGATTCTCTCAGTATGTTAGCCTGATTATATTGTTAGCTAAAACCAGAGATTAAGGGCACCCTGGAAATCTTGAAGATCAGCTGTTTTTTTCTGTAATACTAGAGAGGCAAAACTGAAATGCAGAGGTGTAGTGCATGTTTTTTTTTGCCCAAACTTACTAAGATGCATTAAGATTTAGCAGATGTTTCTTGTCAGAGACTTTTCAGAAAAACATGTGTTTATATAATCCTATGGAACTCTTCACAGTGATCTGTTGCGGGTTTGCTTCTTTTTTAAAATCCTGCTTGCTGCATTTTTGTTGCAGGTTTGGTGCAGTGAACAAAAAAAAGCACCAAAAACGCACCTCCCCACTGAAATGAATGGAAAACACGGCAAAAACTCTTTAACCACTTGCCCTCCTGAGGGTTTACCACCCTTCCTGACCAGGCCATTTTTTGCGTTATAGCGCTGCTTTACCTTAACTGACGATTGCACGGTCATGCAACGCTGCTCCCAAATTCAATTTACGTCCTTTTTTCCCACAAATTGAGCTGTCCTTTGGTGGTATTTGATCACCTGTGCACTTTTTATTTTTTGCGCTATAAAAAAAAAGACCGACAATTTTGAGAAAAAAACTATATTTTTTACCTTTTGCTATTAAACATGTCCAGTAAAAAAATTTAGGCCAAAATGTATTCTGCTACATTTCTTTGCTAAAAAAAAATCCCAATACGTGTAAATTAATTGGTTTACATGAAAGTTATAACGTTTACAAATGGCGGTATAGATACTGGAATGTTTTTTTTTTACTAACTGGCGGTGATCAGCGACTTATAGCGGGACTGCGTTGGACATTCTGACACTGGGAGGAACTGACTTAGTGTCACTGACATCCCCAGTCACACCAATACAGTGATCAGCGTGAAAAAAAGCACTGATACTGTACTAATGGTACTGGGCAGGAAGGGGTTAACATGAGGAGCAATCAAAGGGTTAACTCTGTGCAGGGAGTGTTTTACTAGGGGGCCATGTAAGTCACCGCTCTCTGCTCTGCCCCTCCCTTGAGCGCTGGGCTGTGGAGGGGGAGGAAACGTCTTGCTCAGGCTCTCAGCGGCTTGCTGAGAGGCTGAGCTATGTGCCGCTCCAGACTCTGGGATGGATCCCGACTTTAAAGTCCTTTTATGCCCCCTGTCAGCTGAAAATGGGTCACAGGAGTGCAGAACTAACTGTGCTCCTGTGATCTACAGGAGAAGTACAGCCAAGAAAGCTTTAGCTGTACTTCTCCTTTAAAGTAGACATTCAGTCAAAGCCTAACTATACCTAAACCTGCTGTCACCCCTATTCTAAGCCTATTCTAACAATCCTGTAAAGGAAAGATGTCTATACTTACCTATTTTGAAGGTGTACCAGTCCTTTCAGATGACCTCTCCAGCTGCCTGCTCCAGTGAAGTGTAGGGATCACCGACAACGGCTGCAGAGCCTGGGCTGTAACTCATCCATAGGCTTACTATGGGGCATCCATTGTCGGCTGTCCCTCCTTTATACTGACGCCAACCCTGGGAGATGATCATGTGACCGGAATGGAGCACCCTCAGTATATGTAAGTACACACATTTTACCGTTCACTGGGCTATTAGAACAGGCTTAGAATGCGGGTGGCAGCAGGTTTAAGTATAGTTAGGATTTGACTAAACGTGTACTTTAAGTTTAAATTTTACAGTACAGTAAAACTTAAAGTTTCTTTTAAAAAATTATTTGAGTTATGCTTTAGCAAGACTGTCAGCTCATAAGATGCATTCCAGTATGAAAGAGATGTACCAGGTAGGTATGCTGTGTCCTTAAGTGCAAATTCATGTTTGGAGTGTACCTGTAAAATATTACTGTAACAAATTATAGAAAACAGCCTACAGCATTTTTAAAACAAGATAAACATACTAAAAGATGCATAGAGATCTCAAATGAGTATATTTATACTTGTCACATCAATACCATTTTACAAGATGATGAATCTGTTATGGCCTTTTTGCTTATTCTACAATTCCACTGACAGAATTAACCATAGTTTAACAAAGCTGTGTAGTTAGCAACATAGTTAAAAACTATATGTTTCTTTTATATTACATTGGCCCAGAAGCAGGCAAGAGATGTTCTAGCTCCTGCCACTCTTCCACTGATCCCCCATCCCTTTGATAGCAGGAAAGGGTTCTTCTAGATGCATCAGCTGTCACTTTTTAAAAACAGCATGGTTGTGGGGGGCTCCATCCACACAGCTACAGATTCCTGTGAATGAATTTATTTATTATAGGTACTTATATAGCACCGTCAATTTATGCAGCGCTTTACATATATATTGTACATTCACATAAGTCCCTAACCCTCAAGGGGTGTACAATCTAAAGTCCCTAACTTACTTTCATACACATACTAGGGACAATTTAGACAATTAACCTACCAGCATGTCTTTGGAGTGTGGGAGGAAACCAGAGTACCCAGAGAAAACCCACAAACTCCAGGCAGGTGGTGCTGTGGCTGGGATTCAAACCAACGATCCTAGTACTGCCAGGCGGAAGTGCTAACCATTCAGCCACTGTGCTGCCCTAAACTACAAGAACTGTCTGCCACGGCAGACAGACTTGTAGTTTCAATAGGCTGTGGGGGCGCTGTTGAGCACTCTCATAGTCCATTGACATGTTCTCTGGCTTTCAAACAGGAAGTCCTTACAAAGGTACAGGCTGAAAGTCGTCGAAGGCATGTCTGCACTAACCTGACATTGCACCCACGATCTACTGTTTGCGGGTACAATGCTTTTCAGGCTCCTTCAGGAAAAAATAGTAAATGCACATTTTTGTTTCTGCAAAAATATGTGCATTTATTATTTTTTCTGTAAAGGTGAATTTAGCCTTTAAAGTGTAAGATCACTTTCAACCAAATTTTGTAATAATTCTCTATGCAATTCCATACTATATGAATAGTACATACCAGTACTCTTCCTGTTTTAAAAAGTACCAGTCATCCCATTACTTAGGCAGCTATTGGGGGGCCTCTTCACAAAATCCACTGGCCCTTCATTCCCCCTCCATCCTGATTCTTGCAGGACAAGTTGAACATTATAATTGTGTTGAGCTCAAGAATAGAAGAGAGTGCACATGCACACAGTATGAGTGGCCACTACTAAGCTCAACTGTAGTAGGGGAGAGCACACTACACATGTGAGCAGTTTGCACAGCCAAGGGCAACCCTTAGGGGGCTCATAGTTGTAATGTTCAGCCCATACTGCAAGGAATGACAGGATAAAGGGGGATTGTGAGGCTAGCGGTTTTTATGGAGAGGCCCCCCGACAGCTCCATGTGTAATGGTAAAAAGTGTACCAGTCAACAAAGGAGGAGTGGTAGTATGTACTTTTTGGAATATATGGAATTACATTGGTGGAAAGTGAATTTACCCTTTAAATATGCAAGTATTATACTGAAAGCAGGTATTATGGTCGTGAGTGGAGTAGGGTGGTATGTGATCTTTTTCTGGATTGCTAAGTAAGGTTTGGGATTTGTGGCAGTTCTTTTCTAACCTGTTCTGTCGCTATCTTATCATAGAAAATCTGTCTGATATATTTGTAGTTTTATACAGAAGGACTGCTATCCTAATTTACCCATGTGACCAAAATAATTTATTTTTAGCTGATAGATTGTCAAGAAGGTAATTTGTATCCATTTTGCATTGTTTCAGGAATACCATTTTACTTTTGATTGTGTCTTCAATTCTAACATGGGACAGGTAAGCCATAATCTTATGTGTGTATTACATTTAAAAAAAAGTCAAAGTTACCACTTGGCTGTTTTAATTTGAAACAAAAAAAGTTTATTCTCCTCTCCTTGTTCCAAGAGGTTGGGCATGTAGGGAAACCTTTTCTGATTGTTTTCTTTGCACCTTATAGTTCAGCACAATATGTATCAACGTACCTTCCCGATCTCTCTTCATAGGGTAAACAAGAATAGGTGCGCAATTCATGTTTCAGGACCTGACAGTTATATCATATGGACCTAAAGAGGGGTTGTGCCTATTGCCTATAATGGCCTTTTTTGTGTTTGTACCCTAAAAGCAAAAAAGTAAGATAAGTTAAAGCCCAACTTGGTCCAAATATTTTTTTTATTGTATTGTATAGATTAGGGAAGGGTTAGAAAAGTGTTTTTTATTGCTGTGTCCCTATCGCAGAGATTTAACCTCTGTACTTTCCCAGTTGAGAGGGCAATAAGTAATAGTACATTTTTCTGATTGGGAACAGGGAAAGTAAAAAAAACAAAATAGTAAAGTGGGGAGAAGTTAAAACATTTGTTAGGTTTGTATTGCTGTGTGTATTTTGAGTGACACACACACCATCTCAAATCTTTTCCAGGTGTCACTGGGACAGATAGTGAGAGAAAATCTCCTCAGTGAGGATATACAGTAATGAAAAAACTTGACAGAAGTTCTGAATCGTACCCAGGGGCGGACTGACAACTCATGGGGCCCCCAGGCAATAGGGGATTATGGGGCCCCTGTGTCCTTGCCCAAACTCAAAACAGCCTATGAAAAAGGTACCAGGCACATCTCATGGGGCCCCCTACTGACCCTGGGCCCTCGGCAGTGCCCGAGTTTCCAAATGGTCAGTCCGCCCCTGAGGATTCGTATCTGCTCTAAAAACACTAAAAGAAAAAAAAATTGTCTGGAGATGGACTTTAAATGCTTGGCCCAGATTTGTTGGCTTAGGCTACTGTCGCTAAGTTCTAGTCCTTAAGACCCCTTAAAGTGAGTATTGCCCAGTTCTGTTAAAGTGAAGATTTGCTGTGTTATAAGAAACATCTAAAATATTAAGACCCATTCACACTTGTGCAACTTGTAATGCGACTTTGGACATCAAAGTTGCATGACAAACCATACCCCATGTTTTCCAATGATAACCATTCATATATGTGAATTAAAGTTGCAGCAACTTCAAAGTAGTTCATGCACTATTTTGGTCCAATTATCATGCAACTAGAGGGTCACAGACTTTAATGTTAACCCTTGAAAGTGCATGAAAGTCATACCTGAATGTTTTACATGCAACAGTGGTGCTAAAGTAGGTCCCACTTTGTAGAGGGCCAAGTCACATCCAAGTAGCACCCATCCAAAGTTGCTTAAAAGTTGCAACAAAGTTGCACTCCTAAGTGGCGCAACTTTTGAGTCGTACAAGTGTGCATAGACCGTAATTGTGCCTATGCAGTACTGTGAAACATTTACATATGTGTCCTGAATTCCATCTGAAAAATAGCAGTGCACTATGTGAAGGTGCCTAGGCACCTGTAACCTCTGGAGGTTTAAAGTGAAATTCGGTGATTTCACCCTCTGTCAAGTAGTCAGAGAGTCAGTTAAGCCGTTTTTTTCAATGAACATTTGAGATTTCCTTTGAAATTCAATTGCCAATGTTTTTGAATGAGCTGATCACTTTGAATGCAGTTTTCACTGAGGGCTCCTTCACACCATGGTACAGAGAAGTCAGTTTTTCTGCATGCATTCTGCAAGGGCACAACAAATCAATTGTTCTCTATGTGCCCTGTTCATACCACAACACAGGCATCATATGCAGATTTTTTTCTGCACAGGAATCTGCAATGTGTATAAAACTCACTGAAGCGCCCATGAAAATTGATGTAAACTTATGTCTCTGCAAGTGAAATCTGCACGTCAGTTTCCACCAGTTTTTCTGCACGTATGGTGTGAACAAACCCTCAATGTAACCTCTGCTTGCTGTGACTTTTTAGCAAGTGCATGGTTTGAATTGCCCAGGTTTGTTATGGGAGTTACTGTGAAATCCTCTGAAGTAGTTAACTCTATTACCACTAATCTGTTTGTTGTAGGATAAGGTGTTCTCAGAGCTCATTCAGTCCATGCTGAACACTGTTACTTCTGGATACAATGTATCTATTCTTCTGTATGGATCACTAAGAAGTAGTACTCAATTTCTGCATGGTGAAGATGGCAATCAGTTTGGATTAGTATATCAGGTAAGAGTGGTTTTCCTAAATCTTCACTTTACTTAATTTTACATTCTGTTACATTCTGG